GGCCGCCGGCCGGGCCAGGCCGGGCCGCTGCTCCCGCCGTCCCGCTTCCTGGCGAGGCAAACGAAGCTGCGTGTCTGCAGGACCGCCCGGGACAGGGCCACATCCCCCGGGACAGGCAGAGAGCCTTGGCATCGCGGGGGGCAGCCGAGGCGCTTGTCCAGCACCGTCTGTTCTCACGCAGCAGTGACAGAGTTTCACGTTCAGGCCTACGGATGGTGGCTGTGCCTGACCGCAGCGTCACCGGAGCGAGGAAGGGACAGTGCAGATTCTCTGGTGGAAGGGAGCGATCAGGAGGAAAAGGGGGGGCTCTGCACCCCGGGAAGGCTGTACCCTGTTGCCTTGTCTGCTTTTGAACACCGCAGCAAGCTTGGAAGACAGGCACAGAGTTGAGGTTGAAGGTCCTGAAGACCTCCGTCTGTTCCGTTTCTCCAAATTCAGAGTAAGGCAAGACCAGAGGTGGCGTACAAGCACAGGCGCTTCGGTGGCGGTCTGGGATGAACCACATAGCAGGCAGAGGCAGGCAGAGGTGAGGACTTTCAGCCCCGAAGCAAAGCAGGGGTAAGGCTGGCTAATGTCCTAGTCTGGGGGTTCTCGTGTAGATAGATGCGCCTGTGGTTTGCATCCAGCCTGTATGATCAGTCTATTCTGAATTTTCCTGGTATTACTAGTCAGCAGTTCTTGTGACCCATCCGACGTTTGCAACCCCTTTCTCATGTGCCAGTGAACTCTGCTTTCCCATGCTCCCTGTCCTCCATAGTGCAGACTCCCCGTAGCCCCTGGTCTTCCTGTGTGTCCAGTCCCATGCCTCCTAACGGCCTGGCCCCTGGCACAAGAAGGATGCTGGGGCTGCTGCTGCTGCCGTGCTCACTGCCATCAATGATTCAGGGCCAAGAAGCAGAGCAAAGGAGGCCAGTGCTGCAGCAGGAGGTGAAACTCCTGCATTATTCAGGGAGCCCATTTTGCTCACAGGGCATGGCAGTACTTGCCCTGCAGTGCCTGGCCACAGGGATCAGGGCACTGGGAGCTGGCGGTCAGGACGCTGTATGTGCATATACCCTGTGCATGCTGTGTGCTCATACGTGTGCATGTGTGTGTGTATGTGTGCTCTGTGCATGCTGTATGCAGCCCATGTTCTTCCTGGAGAGTGTCTTCTTGCCGAAGAGCTAGAGCGGAACTGGGGGACTCTCATTCCCAGGAGGTTTCTCCTGTTCAGTCCAATAGATCTGACTGCTGTTCCCATGGGCAGGTACTAGAGGATTAGTTTGTCTCTCAAAGAGCCAGATCACATTCAAGAACATGTCAAGCTACTTGTCATAGAATCATAGAGTCGTTTTGGTTGCAAGAGACCTTTAAGATCATCAGGTCCAACAGTTAACCCAGCACTACCAAGCCCACCACTAAACCATGTCCCCCAGTGCCACGGCTACACATCTTTTAAATGTTTCCAGGGATGGCGCCTCAACCTCTTCCCTGGGCAGCCTCCTCCGATGCTGGGTAACCATTTCAGTGAAGACATTTTTCCTAATATCCAATCTAACCCTCCCCTGCCGCAAGTTGAGGCCGTTTCCTCTTGTGCTATCACTTGGTACTTGGGAGAAGAGACTGACACACCCCCCCCCGTCGCTACACCCTCCTTTCAGGGAGCTGTAGAGAGACATACGGTTCCCCCTCAGCCTCCTCTTCTCCAGGCTGAACAAGCCCAGGTCCCTCGGCCGCTCCTCATCAGACTGGTGCTCCAGACCCCTCAACAGCTACGTTGTCCTTCTCTGGACACCCTCCAGCTCCTCACTGTCTCTCCTGAAGTGAGGGGCCGAAAACTGAACACAGTATTAGAGGTGCGGCCTCACCAGTGCTCAGTTCAGACATGCAATCACCTCCCTGGTCCTGCAAGCCACACTATTTCTGATACAAGCCAGGATGCTTCTGGCCTTCTTGGCCACCTGGGCACACTGCTGTAATAGGCACAGACCTTGGGTGTTTCAAGATCCGTATCTCCTCTCGCTCGTCAGCTAGTCCAGCTTCAAGTTCACCGGTGAACTGCGCGCGCGCACAGCGCTCCCACCGGTATCTGGCCCGAGACACTGGGTGTTTCCAAGGGCCGGGTCCCTGTGACCTGTGTTCCCTTCTGCCATCGCTGGCAGCCAGGCCTCTGCACCCACCCCCCACCAGGCACAGAACGGGGCCACACAGAAAAGGGTTTGGAAGTGCTCTCAGAAGGAAGGGAGGATGGACTGTGGTGATTAGGTGCAGGGCTCAGTCAAACAAGCAAACCGACCAGCAGCGTGCTTCTGTGTCACTAGATCCACCATCCCCCCTTGTCTCCTGTGTGAGCCAACTCGGGCAGGACGCAGGCACCACCACAAGACCATGGATGAAAGGCAAAGAACAAGTTTAATCTCAATACCTCGCAAATCGGGGAGGCTCCGCAGCAACTCCTGGGCAGAGGGATACAAGCAGGGGACGCAGGCACCGCACGGCGGGAGAAAGTTCTTGTTAGCAGGAGCGTGTGTGTTTTCTAACTTGCTGTTCTCGCCGGCCTTTCAAGGGTTCAAGCAGGCGCAGTTTTTCACTGTGCTTTGATCTTCTTCAACAAGGCAGTGATCTCACGTGTGCTAGATAAGGTGTCCCCGAGTCCGTCCCAGGCTTACATTACCTAAGTGCGGCTATTCTACATGCAAGCACACAAGGCTGAACAACAGTTAGGGTGATATGTGTGTTGTCCAGCACCCCAGGTGCGAGTCACTTGAGCGTGTTTACGATCCCCCTCGCCAATCTTCCCTTCTATTCCCACATCTCCATTCTCCCTGCTTGTACATCCCCCTCATCTTCCTTGACTCCTCCCTTTCTCCTCCCCTGTCTCTCCTCCCAAACAAGGGGCCCACCCCAGCTCCTATCCCCCCCTCCTCCCAGGTTTGCTCCATCAGTGAAGAGATTTGGTGTTTCAGGTGCTGTTAGCTCGGCCGCCTTGGACTGCCATGGCATTACTGATGCGGCTTCCTGGGCACTGCTGTCCCTGCCAGATTCCTCTCCCCACACTGACCCCAACCATTGCTCCAGTTACCTGTGCAGCGTGGCCACCTCTCACACCAATCCCCCTTCACTGCCCCTGAAATCTGGCTCTTCCTTCTGGCACTGTAACCCCTGTTGGCGTCTCACTCTGTTTGCTGTGCTCAGCAATTTCTCTGGTCACGCTCAGGAGTTTCCCACCAACTGTGCCATGAGCTACAGCTTACGGCAGGCCCTAATCTCCACCTGTGTGCCTTAATGCATACCCGCAAAGTTGTCTTCACATCACATCATTGTTTCCTATCCTTGATGTGCCAGTCTGCTCCATGCCACGGTGGCTCTGAGCACACTCCTCTCTGACCGGGCACGGTTTCAGCCCTTGAGAGCGACTCTTTGCCTTTGTGCCCTGCTGTCTGCCTGCAGCCTCATCCTGCAGGCGCCGGGCATGCAAGTCCTTGCCTTGC